AAGGCCAATGCCGATGAGGTGGTGGCCATTTATAAGGCTGATGCCGAGGAGGCTCAGGTTCGGTCAAAGACATCACCGAGCATGCTAAATGGCAATCTCGAAGGGAGGTTGTTGAGGAAATAAATGCTCGGGGTTTCGACCTATCAGCGGAGATCGAGAACACCAAGGAGCTTGAAGCTGAGGCTAAAAGATTGGCTTATCCCGAGGATGATAATGACTCCGAGGGTTTAAGCGAGTCCGAAGGCGGGGAATATCCTGAAAATGAAAATGCTGCCCCGATGAGGACCAGGCCACTTAAGCCTTTAGATGCTCTATTTTTTGTTTTTGCATTTTTGTATGGCCCTTGTAAAAAGAATTTTGTATGAACATATAAGATTTTATTTCCCTTTCACGGCTTTCAATTTTTTCCCTTTGCTTTATTATTTATATTCACAAAGATCGGAATGACTTAGCACGAAATAATCCGGTTATATTCGGAGGTTCAAACAAACCTTGCCTTTATATTATTCTATTTTGAGACATTTTGGGGGTTCGGTGTTACTGAAAACTTCCTCCCAAAGTAAGTACCTAAGATTAAAATTCACCGAGGGTAGCCTTTAGAACCGGTTTATGAAAATTTTCTTTTTGAAGGCCTTGCTTTTGTTACGAGTCTCGAACGTCTCCGAGCCGTGCTAATGTGGCCGTAGCCTTTTAGTTCGGGAGTTGCCTAGTGGACTTGTTTTCCCGAATTATCCGGGCATGCCCAAGATAACAGTCCCTGAGTGGGGATGGCCGTGGCCTTTTAAAATATGGGGGTCGCCTGATAGGTCTTATGCCCCCGAGGACTAATAGCTTGGACCGTTCGAGTTTATTTTTGGACGATAGTCCCCGAGTGAAAGAGTGATTGATCGATCTAAGGTTAAAGAAGCCCTAGCGCTCGTCACCTTTAGGTGATCAGAAGCAGTGAATTCCTCAAGAAATATAAGTAAGAAATTTTTAAAAGACAAGATGATTGCAAGGAAGATACTTCTCTTTATTCTTGTGTAAAATAGTTATACATACGTACACTACAGCTCGAGCAATCTATGCGGGCACGATTCGTTTGACCATTTGACCCTTACAATAAATCTTACCTGTTGAGACCCTTCCATCACGTTGCTAAAGTCGATATCCGAGGGTAATGCCCCCTAGTATTCGAGGTTGATTATAGAGAGAAGCCTCGGATACTGTTGAATTGATCCTTAACACCGGTTCATGACCGATATTCTATTTAAAGTTAGCATGATCCATGTTGCCTCGTTAAACACCTTGCCGGAAAACCCATTTGGGACAAAACAATTTCAAGGAAAAAAGAGTGCAACGCGTGCCTTCAGACCTAAAACATTGTACGGCTCCTTGTCAGTCACCTGCAAGTGTTAGTTCGACATATAAATAAAGAAAAATGAGTAGGGTTATATCTTAGCAGTAATATCATTTTAGGCGAGTTACATTCCAATTGCTCGTTAGTTATTCATCGTTCATCATTCCGAGCTTGTAGGATCCTTTTTCAGTGATCTGGATGATATGATACGGTCCTTCCCATTTCGGTCCTAACTTTCCCTCGTTCGGGGTTCGGGTGTTCATCGTGACCTTTCTTAGAACTAAGACACCGACGTTGAAGTATCGAAGGTTGGCCCTTCTGTTGTAATATCTCTCTATCTATTGTTTTTAGGCAGCCAACCGAACAAGGGCGACTTTGTGCCTTTCACCAACAGTTCTAAGCTCGTACTCATGGCCTCGTCATTTGACGCCTTTGTTGCATACCAGAATCTGATACTTGGCTCTTCGACTTCGACCGGTATTAAAGCTTCGGCACCGTGAACCAATGAGAATAGTGTGGCCCCAGTATTGGACTTTGAGGTCGTACGATATGCCCATCGGACTTCGGGTAGGATTTCTTTCCCTTTTCCTTTGGCGTCAGTTAACATTTTCTTGAGGTTTTGGAGTATGGTTTTGTTGGTCGATTCGGCTTGTCCATTCCCACTAGGGTGATAAGGTGTTAATAAGATCCTTTTTATCTTGTGATCCTCGAGAAACCTGGTCACTTTAATGCCGATAAATTGTTTCCCGTTGTCACATGCGATTTCGGATGGCATTCAGAACCAACATATGATGTGGTCCCAAATGAAGTCGATGACTTCCTTTTCCCCGATTTTCTCGTACGCCTGTACTTCAACCCACTTAGAAAAATAATCAGTCATAAATAATATAAATTGAGCTTTACCCTGTGCCCATGGAAGAGGGCCAACGATGTCAATTCCCAAGTTCATGAATGGCTATGGCGACAAGACCGAATGCAGCAGTTCCCCAGGTTGGTGAATCATTGGAGCATGTCTTTGGCACTCATCACATTTTTGTACGAACTCCTTCGCATCTTTTTTCAAGTCGATTTAGTAATAGCCGACTCTGATTACCTTTCGAACCAATGATTCGGTGCCTGAATGATTTCGGCAGGTGCCCTCGTGAACTTCCCTCAGAATGTACTCGGTATCTCCCGATCCCAGACATATTGCTAGCGGGCCATCGAACATTCTTCTGAACAAGGTTTCGTCCTCAGACAAGCTGAATCGGGCTGCCTTTGTGCGCAAGGCCCTCGATTCTTTTGGATCTAAGGGCAGTTTCTCGGTCTTCAAATACTCTATGTATTTATTTCTCCAATCCCAAGTTAGGCTTGTGGAGTTTATTTCGGCGCGATCTTCTTCTACTACCGATCTCTTGAGATATACGGCTGCCTTCGAGTTGAGCTCATCGTCTTCGATCGATGACCCTAAGTTTGCAAGGGCACCGGCCTCGCTATTTTGATCTCGAGGTATGTTCTGTAAAGTCCACTCTTTGAACAGATATAATGTTACTTGCAACTTATCCAGGTACCTTTGCGTTCGTTCTTCTCTAACTTCGAATGTTCAATTAACTTGGTTCACCACAAGGAGGGAGTCGCACTTAGCTTCGATCACCTTCGCCCCCAAGATTTTGGCCAGTTCGAGACCTGCAATCATGGCCGCATATTCGGCCTCGTTGTTAGTCAATTTCACGGCTCTAATGGATTTTCTAACTACATTGCATGTGGGTGGCTTCAGTATGATACCAAGTCCGGACCCCTTTATGTTCGAGGCACCATCCACAAAGAGGGTCCAGATTCCTAAGGATGTTCCCGAGTTTACCAACAACTCTCGTTCCACCTCGAGTATTAGGGCCGGTGTAAAATCGGCCACGAAATCTGCCAAAATTTGTGACTTAATGGTTTTTCGGGGTCGATACTCAATATCGTACCCGCTGACTCCCACAACTCATTTGGCCAATTGTCCCGAGAGTTCGGGTTTATGCATTAGATTTTGTACTCGGTAAGTTGTCACAACACATATGGGTTGGCACTGAAAATACGGTTTCAATTTCCTAGAGGCGTTTCGCAAAGCGAGCGCCATTTTTTCTAGGTGAGGGTATCTAGTTTCTGCCTCATCTAGGGTCCTACTAATGTAAGAAATTGTAAATTGCGTACCTTGTTCTTCCCGAACCATGACTCCACTTACTACTATCTTCGATACTGCCAAGTACAGGTATAGTCGTTCGTCTGCCTTCGGTGTGTGGAGCAGTGGGTGGATCAATAGATATCGCTTGAGTTCTTCTAAGGCCCGTTGGCATTCTGGGGTCCATATGAAGTTGTTTTTCTTCTTCAGTAATGAGAAAATCGGTGGCTCTTATCGGAGGACCTCGAGATGAATCGCCCTAGGGCGGCGATGCGCCCGGTTAGCCTTTGCACGGCCTTCACGTTGTCCACTACCGTGATATCCTTGATAGCTTTAATCTTGTCGGGGTTGATCTCAATTCCTCGATTAGATACCATGAACCCGAGAAATTTACGTGATCCGACTCCGAACACACAATTTTCCGAATTCAGCTTCATGTTGTACTTCTTCACTATATTGAAGGTTTCCTGCAAATGCTTTAAATGGTCCTCTGCTCGTAAGGACTTAACTAACATATCGTCAATGTAAACTTCCATGGATTTTCCTATTTGTTCTTCCAACATCCGGTTTACTAGGCGTCGGTAAGTGGCACTGGTATTTTTTTAAATCCAAATGGCATTGTGTTACAGCATTATGTGCCATACTTAGTGATGAAGGAGATCTTTTCTTGATCTTCCGGGTTCATTAGTATTTGGTTGTACCCGGAGTAGGTATCGAGAAAACTAAGGATCTCGTGGCCGATCGTGGAATCAATCATGCGATCGATGTTGGGCAAAGAGAAAGAGTCCTTGGGACATGACTTATTTAAATCTTTATAATCTACACACATTCTCACTTTGTTCCCTTTTTTAGGGACTACTACTACGTTTGCTAACCACTCCGGGTATTTGACTTTCCGAATGGACCCTATTTTAAGGAGTTTAGTTACCTCTTCCTTGATGAAAGCATGTTTGATCTCGGACTAGGGTCTCCTTTTCTGCTTGACCGAATGGAATTTCGGGTCCAGGCTTAGCTTGTGAATGGTTATCTCCGATGGGATCCGTATCATGTCGAGATGGGACCAAGCAAAACAATTTACGTTAGCTATGAGAAATTGAATGAGTTTTTTCCTGAGCTCGGAGGTTAACCCCGTGCCCAGGTATACCTTCTGATCGGGTAGACGATCAATGTGGCTTGCTCCAGCTCTTTGACCGTTGTAGCATCGAAATCATCGGGTTACTGTAAAATATATGGGAACTCCATAATCATCATCTTCATCAGCCCCTTGTTTATTCGATTGTATCATGGATGGTGTCGATAATTGCTATTTAGTTTCCTGCTTTGTGTTCGAACTTGGTTCCTTTGATGTCATCGGTGTTGATACCGGAATCACTTCTTTGACCGGTTGCTCCCCGTAGATCGTTTTAATCCCCCCTGCCATTGGGAGTTTTAACACCTAGTGAAGGGTCGAGGGTAATGCCCTCATGTTGTGGATCCATGGCCTCTCGAACAAGGCGTTGTACCTCATGTCCCCTTTGATCACATAAAACTTGGTTTCCTGGATGTCCCGGTGGTGTTTACTGGTAATGTTATTTCTCCCTTGGTAGTTTCACAAGCCATGTTGAATCCGTTTAGCACTCGGGCTGCAAGCACGATTAGGTCTTGTAGACCGAGTTGTCCTACGACCCTCGATTGCATGATGTTGGCCGAGCTACCTGGATCAATTAACACACGTTCAACTCGAGATTTATTCATAAGTACAGATATTACAAGTGCATCTTTATGGGGTTGCACGATTTCTTCGGCGTCCTTGTCGCTAAAAGATAAAGTTCCTTCTGGTATGTAATCTTGAGTCTGTTTCTCCCTTGTGATATATACTTTGGTGCTTTTCAACATTGGGCCTTGAGGAACATCGGCCCTTCCGATGATCATGTGAATGACGCGTTGAGGTTCTTCTTGCTTGGTTTGTTTATTGTAGTCCCTATTTCTGAAATGATTCTTGGCTCGTTCACTCAGGAGTTCTCGAAAATGCCCATTGTTGAATAACCGAGCTACCTCCACCCTCAACTGTCGGCAATCCTTTGTTCTGTGGGCGTGAGTGTCATGATATTTGCAAATCTGGTTTGGATCCCTTTGGGCTTGGTCGGATTGTATTTGATGCGTCGGACAGCCGATATGATAGCAACAACATCAACGTTAATGTTATATTCTAACAACCTCGATGCTTCTTTTTGTCCGATAGGCCTGTCGAAACCATTCTTGCTCATGAGTCCCCGGTTGTTCTGGCCTCGATCATTTTTTCTTTCATTTCGTACGGAACTCCATCCGGACCCATTGCTTCTTCGATCCTCATTGTACAGTTGATACCGATCCCTGTTCGACCTTGGTTCACAGTCAATATCTCTCTTGACTCTGTCGGCGGGTCTAGCCGGATAAACGGATCTGGAAGGAGCCCCAGCTGATTCTTCGACTCTGATCTTTGATTGATACCGATTATGCACATCATCCCAAGTGACAACCGGATACTTTATCAGATTTTGCTTCAATTGCTCTGAAGCCACGAACTTCGAGCATTGAGTCCTTAGGTAAAAGCTTGAACGGCCCAATCATCAGCGACCGGTGGCAAGTCTATCCGTTCCATTTGAAATCGAGATACGAACTCTCTGAGCATTTCATTATCCTTTTGCCGCACTTTGAAGAGGTCCGATTTCTTGGTTTCGGCCTTGATAGTTCCAGCGTGTGCCTTCACAAAAGAGAAGCATAGCAAATGAGTCATTAGAATTAGGGGGTAAATTGTGATACGAAATCATGGCTCTCTTTGACAAGGTTTCTCCGAATTTCTCCAGTAATACAGACTCGATCTCATCAACCTCCAAGTCGTTTCCTTGATGGCGCATGTGTACGAAGTGACGTGCTCGTTAGGGTCAGTTATTCCGTTGTACTTAGGAATCTCGGGCATGCAAAAAAATTTAGGGATTGGCTTCGGGATCGCGCTCGAAGGGAAAGGCTTATGCACAAACTTCTTGGAATCTAAGCCTTTCAATATTGGAGGCACTCCGGGGATCTGGTCGACCCTAGAATTGTAGGTTTCCACCCTTTTTGTCATTTGCTTCGGTTTCTTTTCCCCTGATTCTATTCATTTTGTCAGCTCCTCGAGCATTTTTATGATTTCGGGGTTGTTACCCGACTCGTTCCCATTCGACCTTTCCGAGACCGGTTCCTCCCTGCGAGTAATCTCACGAGACGGGTTGGGCTCTATCCTGCTTGGTACGCGGCTCTGGTTTTGTAACTGAGCTATTGCCACCTATTGAGCCTGCAACATTTCGAAGATCATTCGTAGATTTACCTCGTCTCCTTCGTTGTTTTGAGTATTATGTGCCGTTGACCAGGATCCACCACAGATGCTATTCTCGGGGTCAGTAGGGAGGCTTGTGTCGATAGCCACATGCGAATTAGCGTCCAACGGGTCCGCAAATTGGAATTCTGAGGGGATTAACGGGCGGTACCTCGTTACCGGTCTCTATGTTTTTTTTTCAACGTGATGACCAGACTCATTGTCAGTAGGTAGAGGTGCTAATTACGAGTTTGACATTTTGAGTTCAAGCCCGAAATCAAAGACACTTCAAAGAACAAGTGAAAATAGTGTGCGTTGTGGAAATTTGATCAAATGACCATTATTGTCCTTAGCCCCACGGTGGGCGCCAAACTGTTTACCCTAAAAAATGGATAACAATTGAATTTATACGCAGTTTTAAGAATACATGATGTAACTTGATATAAATTGAAAAAATAATTTAATATTGAAATTAATGACAGAAAAATGAATGCAAACCACACAAGTAGAACAATATTAGCCTTGAAGGTCGGTCACCCTCGAGTCAGAAAGTGCCACAATTGATGTCAGAGCAGAATAACAAGATAATTAGAACTAGAAATAACAATGTATTGTCTTTTTATGCGTGTTATAATGTGTATTACAAATGACTAGACTCCTCTTTATATAATAGAGGAGTCATACTCTAAATACAATTCTATAAAAGGTAGAGCACCTCATAATTTGCTAACTAATCGACCTCTTCTTGATATGTGTTGAGATTTTCGCCGGGATAACCGACCGATTGCAGATATCTTGGCCTTCCGTTAGTTGGCCCGATAAAGTTTCCTCGATCTTGTTCGGAGTCGGGGTCGGTGCTGGAGTCACAGGCTCGATGATCTAACTTCGTACCTTGGTTCAATACAATCTGGGGTCGAACTTCAACCCATCACGTTTCAGTCCCGACCTCTCATACAATAGACGAGCCCTGTTTCAACCGTATACAAACGTATTTTGTGCAATGTTACTACATTATAATAGGGACAAGATTAGACCGACCCTTAAACTCAAGGGATCATTTATATCAGAAACTCTAATATCGAAGGTGGGAATGGGATACAAATATTCAATGGAATTGAACCAGTCAAAGTCCCACTTTAAAAAAACCGGTTCCCGAACCCTCGTTAGCCTTGAAGGTCGGTCACCCTCGAGTCAGAAAGTGCCACAATTGATGTTAGAACAGAATAACAAGATAATTAGAACTAGAAATAACAGTGTATTATCTTTTTATGCGTGTTACAATGTGTATTACAAATGACTAGACTCCTCTTTATATAATAGAGCAGTCCTACTCTAAATACAATTCTATAAAAGGTAGAGCACCTCATAATTTTCTAACTAATCGACCTCTTCTTGATATGTGCCGAGATTTTCGCCGGGATAACCGACCGATTGCGGATATCTTGGCCTTCCGTTATTTGGCCCGATAAAGTTTCCTCGATCTTGTTCGGAGTCGGGGTCGGTTCTGGAGTCACGGGCTCGATGATCTAACTTCGCACCTTGGTTCAATACAATCTGGGGTCGAACTTCAACCCATCACGTTTCAGTCCCGACCTCTCATACAATAGACGAGCCCTGTTTCTACCGTGTACAAACGTATTTTGTGCAATGTTACTACAATATAATAGGGACAAGATTAGACCAACCCTTAAACTCAAGGGATCATTTGTATCAAAAACTCTAATATCGAAGGTGGGAATGGGATGCGAATATTCAATGGAATTGAACCAGTCAAAGTCCCACTTTAAAAAAACCGGTTCCCGAACCCTCGTATTAAACACGCCGACCTAAACACTTGCCCCGGTCCGATTTATTAAAACTCGCCGCAAAAACACCGAAGCCACATTTTGAAGTGGTAGAGTAATATACAAGAAAAAGGAACCCACTTTCTCTCTTGGGTTCTCTGCGATCTCTTTTTTCTGAAGCCAAACCAAAACCCTAGCTCCTAACCCTAGACCAAACCCGAAGAGCAATGGCATATCAGCACCAATCACCTAATCACAACGGCGAAAACGACGACGGCCAAAATCGCCGGCTCTATAACCCTTACCAAGACCTACACGTTCCAATTCAAACACTTTACAAGCTTCCAACTTCACCGGAGTTCCTTTTTCAGGAAGAATCCGTCGCCCAGCGTCGATCATGGGGTGAAAATTTGACCTACTACACTGGCATCGGTTATCTAGGCGGCGCCGTTGTTGGCGCCGGAAAAGGATTTGTTGACGGCGTGAGAGCTTCGGAGCCAGGTGACACCATGAAGCTTAAGATCAATAGAATCTTAAACGGTTCGGGTCACACGGGACGGAAGTTTGGGAATCGAGCCGGCGTTATTGGGCTGCTTTATGCTGGGATGGAGAGTGGGATGGTGGCTATTAGGGATACGGATGACGTCATCAACTGTGTGGTTGCTGGATTAGGGACTGGAGCTTTCTACAGGGCGGCGGCGGGGCTGAGGTCGGCGGCCGTGGCTGGGGTTATTGGTGGCGTGGTTGTTGGCTTGGGGGTCACTGGAAAACAGGCGTTAAAACGATATGTGCCGATCTGAGGAATTGGTGCTTTTGGGTTTGTCGACACTCAATCTTTGGTAGCTGTTATTTGTTTCTAAAAATTTTGATGATACCTTTGAGAAATGTGATTCTCACACTGCGAAGTAATGTAATTTGGCATGAAAGTTGCATGCTTTTTAGTTATATTTAAACATATTTATTGAATATATATGCTGAAATTAGGTTTAGAGGAGACTTGCTCTCCAATAAAGTTGACAAAACTAAATCTTGATATGGTTATTTCATTACTTCTTTTTATATCGATCCTTCCTTGTGTTGAAGTTTTATATAGATGATAGAATGCGTTTTTTTCGTGCTTAAATTTTTTTCCCAAGTGTACTTGTCCAAAATAGATGGTCTTTTTGCCCAAGTTTTACTCTATTGAAGAGTTTGCTCAGTAGATACTATGCATTTGATCAACTTTATGCTAGCTGCAATGTTGATGGCAAGCTCCAGCTAGTTGTTTTGGTGGTGGAAGAGTTTCTTTCTGATTCCAGATAGTTCTAGCATTTGGTGAATAACCTTATGGAATTTAATTGTGGTTCTCACGAGTAGAACTCTGCTAGTTATTAATTGCATCTGTATATACACGTGTGCAGTGTTTGTGGAAAGACTTGGGGTACCAAGTAGTTGAATTTTGGATAACCTTAATTGAAGAACAATCAGTGCTATCATAAGATGCCTTGTGCCAAAAGGGTGCCTCATCCTCATGCGAACTATTCAAAGGGACTGTAATGTGATTTTTTATTGATTTCTAAGCACTGTATTTGCTATACATGAGAGTACTTATCAGCAAAAAGTATTAGTTGTGTGAGAAGTTTTTCTCTTAAATAGATTTCTGGACACTATGTATGGTTGTGTATTATTGCTATATCTTTCTACTGCCATATGATGTTTGGGTAATTGCGCAAGGGCTTTGAGTTCCATGCCATTGATACACAAAGGATGGAACTTTGAAATGATTTTGAGTTCACCTTCTGATGGCATTTTTATTCAATGATTGTTGCTAAGTGTGTGAATTTCATGTGCTAGTGCTGCTTTTTGGTTCTCTTGTTTTGCAGCTCTTTGTACTGCCATATGATGTCTGGGTTATTGCACAAGGGCTTTGAGTTCCATGCCATTGATACACAAAGGATGGGACTTTGAAATGATTCTGAGTTCACCCCTTCTGATGGCAGTTTTATTCAATGATTGTTTTCAATTGTCTGAATTTCATGTGCCAGTGCTGCTAAGATTGGTAGACTTAGATATATGCTGACTATGATTAAGAAGGAAGAATGACTTTGATACTCTATTTTCTGGAGGAGCTGTTTGGCACTTTTGAGAAAATAAAACACCATCTTTTATTTCTCTACACTAACTTCCATATTTTCCTATTGTCTATATGTTTTGGCTTCTCTTGTTTTGGCTCTTTGTAGTGCCATATGATGTTTGGGTAATTGCGCAAGGGCTTTGAGTTCCATGCCCTTGATACACGAAGGATGGAACTTTGAAATGATTCTGAGTTCACCCCTTCTGATGGCAGTTCTTTTTTCCATTTATTGTTGTTAATTGTCTGAATTTCATGTGCTAGTGCTGCTAAGATGGTTTGGACTTAGATATCTACTAAATAGGATAAAATGGGAGAATGAGTTTAATATCCTGTTTTCTGGAGGAGCTGACTGGCAATTTGAAAATATTTTAGCAATCTTTCTTTTCACTACACTAGCTTCCGTATTTCCCTTTTGTCTGAATGTTTTTGGTTCTCTTGTTTCCAGCTCTTTGTATTGCCATATGATGTTTGGGTAATTGCGCAAGGGCTTTGAGTTCCATGCCCTTGATAAAGGATGGGACTTTGAAATGATTCTTAGTCCACCCCTTCTGATGGCAATTATTTCCAATGACTGTTGTTTAAGTGTCTGAATTCATGTGCTAGTGCTGGTAGGATGGAGTTAGTTTTTTTTGCAATGACTGTTGTCAAGTGTCTGAATTCATGTGCTCTTGTTTCCAGCTAGTTTTTAGTTCCCTTTCTCAGTTTTGCTTCTTTTCGGTATGAGTAGTTTATCACAAAACCAGTCCAAGTAAAGGCTGCATATCCTTGCAGTTTAGTTGTAACTTTAAGTTGCTCAAACCCTCCCCTCAGCCATGTTTCCTTCCCCTCTCTTGCCACGTCCTCCACGATCCTCTCTCTCCCCTCCCCCCCCCCCCCTCCCCTTTCGATCTCTGTTCTCTCTCATTTCCTCTCCCTTTCATAATCATAGAGGCTCTGATTATTACCTTATCTGGCTATGGTGTGCTCCCGTTTCTTTCTTCCCACAAACCATTCCCCCCCAATATCTTACTGGCCCATCGTATGAACCCACTCTTTGTAGTTTGTACTCACTCATCTAATGTCTCTCTCTCTCTCTCTCTCTCTCTCTCTCTCTCTCTCTCTCTCATGTAAAGCTCCTTCCAAGTCCAAAGGGAGACAAGAGGTCTCTCTCTCTCTCTCTCTCTCTCTCTCATGTAAAGCTCCTTCCAAGTCCAAAGGGAGACAAGAGGTAGTATTGACCCTCAGGTTGGAGTCCTGATAACATGGGCATTACCCCCTTAGTTTTTCTTATGAAAATGCTATGAGAGGCCATGTATGTTCACACGCTGACGAGATTAGGGGGGAGAAAAACTCTCAAAAGCTTGAGAAATTCAATGAAATATAATGTTGTGTGTTATATGATGTTGTGTGTTATATAATGTATTCTCTGACATCGAGTTTGATACTTAAATTAAAAAATTGCAGCTTGTCTCATAATTTTTTAAAATAATATCCATATTTAGGTTTTGTTAATGGAGCTGTCAGATATGTATGCTTTGTTTTCTTTCCATTGAAATTGGAACAAAAAGCCGCACTTACACGATGATTCCTAGTTTTGGTTTTTAACTCGGGTGTGTGTGTTGTGTCTTGACGAGTTGTATTTGTCTGTTTCTGTCGGTGTTAGTCGTTTTGTCCTGCTATTGTGGTGAATATTAAGGTTGGCACAGAGTTGTGTATTAATACTGCAATGGGGGTGCATCTCTTTCTTTGTTTTACTTTTTTCTTTGGTAGAATTATGTGTAGTTGCTTTTGAGTCTTGAACACCGTGTTTGTCTCTTGGTATGAAATAGGGAATACTTGATTTGAAATTGAGATGTCATTAGATACTTATGAGTAATACATCTTACTTATAATAAGTATCTTGATGTATATAAAGGAGATAAAAAGGTTCGCCAAAAGTTAATCTTGACCAGAAAGAGTTAGGACAGACCATTGTAACTTAATTCTTTCCCTCCGATAACTTAGAGGTAGGAGTGGCAAATGGGCGGTTCGGGTCGGATATGGTTCGGGTTGAAAACGGGTAATGAAAAAACGGATCAATTATCCGATTCGATCCATATTTAATACGGATAGAAAATGGGTTAACCGGCGGATAATATGGGTTACCCATATTATCCATGACTTCTTGTATATGATCACTTTTGGGAGAATTCTTAGTCTCTCTAACTTGAGGAATTCCCAATTTGAGGCTTTACAAATGTAAAAGTTAGACCCATTGTTTACTCATTGGTTATCCATTTTCTAAATGGATAATATGGTTCTTATCTATATTTGACCCGTTTTTAAAAAGTTTATTATCCAATCCTTTTTTTAGTGGATAATGTGAATGGTTAACTGTTTTTTGTGAACCATTTTGCCACCCCTACTTAAAGGAATCGTAATGTGTTCGATAAAAAAACGACGCGTGTGTCCAATTAATTTTGTTTTTACTTTTTTAACATGATAGTCTGGTCATGGATAGCCGTTGTCCATATTAACTTGTAGAGACTTGCTTTGACATGGATATTTCTTAGATGAATTTTCAGAAATCACTATTGTTTAGTGGCTATTAACTTTCTGTAGCTATCAAATACATAATTACTTTGTCTAGCTACTATTCAGATATTACGGTAGTGTATTTGCTATATTTGCTGTATTTGTGCTGTTGTATTTATGAATGCAATAGCAAAAAGCGCCTAAAAATCAGGGCGAATACAGCAGCAAAAAGCGCCTAAAAAAAGTAGGATAATTCAGTTATACGTGCATGTATTCACATGTATTCGCTCCATGTATTCATGAACACAACAATGACAATCACCTTACAAAATAGGTTTGTTCAGCTGCCTAATAACGAAAATAATATCACTTAGCGTACACTCTTAATATAACTCAACAAAAATAATTCTAACATGCCTCATTATCAACCCAATTAATTAGAATGATTTTTCACGTATATAACTGTTGTGTTTAGTGTGTTTCAATTTATTTTTTTTATTGTTGCATTCAATAGATTAAATAGCTGTATTTATTGTTTCGCTATTTTATATTCAGTGTATTCAAATATATTTGTATTAATAGTGTTTTAGTTATTCCTAATACATGTTATTACTGTTGTATTCTCTATATTTCATTGGTATCCAATATTTTTCTATTTGTATTCAGTGTGTTTTACTGTATCATTATATTTTAAAATTAAATGTGTTCATTGTGTATATTCTGTTCTATTCATTGTTTGTATTCAGTGTATTTCAATGTTTATATTCATGCATACTGTATGTACAATATGCATGAATACACCGATGTATTCATCTGTATTAAGAAAATACAGGCGTTCGAAATACATAAATACAGGCAAAAAAATATATTGCAGTATCCGTCGTTCATGTTATCGTACCCATGCTCTACTCGGATTATTCCGACATCTTTTTTGCTCCCCACGTGGTGACCCTAGCCCTAGAGCGACGAGAGAGAAGAGAGAGACCACATTGATTAGAACGAAATATGTAAGAGACCATTTGTAATAATCAAACAGTAAAAGAAACTATTTGTTATAAATTATTTCATCTGAAGGAAGTTTCAAGGCATAAAATAGCTAGAGAATGTAGGGGAAAAGGAGAAACTCCAATATGTAGCTTCCATAAGAATGTCTTCCATAAGGGTGGCAAGTGGGCCGGTTAGGCCCGGGCTCGGCCCAGGCCCATGAGCCCATATGGGTAGTGGGCCTAAACGGGCCTACCCGTTTAAGCCCGGGACCAGAAGGGGGTGCAGGCCCGAGTGGGCCGATTCAAATAATAAGCCCGTTAGGACCGGGACTGTTTGGGCCCAGGACCGGCTCCTAAGTGGGCCGGTTCAACCGGTCCTAAACAGGCCCAACGAATACATTTAAAAAAACAAAAATCCCTCAAAAATTCTGACCGTTACCCATTTAAAATCTAGCTGTTAGTTCTGCCAAAATAG